GATTATGTTTCGTCGCAGTGAAAACCGCGAGGGCTAAACTACCGACGACTACTTATCTACATTGCGCAAAGTCGAAACGTCATCGCGAACCGGCGGGAAATCGCTCGAACGAGCTCCCTGATTTACGTACTTTTTATCCACTCTTAATTAACACCTGCTAGATGATTGACAGTCGGTGTTAATTAATTGATAGTTAGATGATTACAGGCAGAAGCTGACATTTATGAACTGCCGGCTTGTTCATTATTTTTATCGAGTCAATCTTCGCCAATATAATACTTTACGTGTCAAGTTTGCCCTGTAACGTCATCGAAAGGTTGACAAAGTTTCCACGTGCTGACGCACGCCGCGTGTCTGCTGACACACACGGACGCAACTACCGTACGCGGTACATGCTAAGTGTAAAACAATGTAGAATAGAGGAATACGCAGCGTAACTATGCACTTTCTATTTGATCATGCATTTACAGTCTCGTCTCGATTACCACCGGAAAATCATTACGACACGGTCGTACGTTGCCAGCAATCTTGCAACAGGCGGCGAGCAGAACGCCTTTTCTACGGCGTGGACGACTATGACAACATGACACGCGCGAACACGTGGACACGTTTATAGCTTAATTGTACTCCAGTAAATTTAACTTTCGCTTTTTAATCGCAATTTTTAATTACGACACAATATTATTATACACAATATCAATAATCACCAAATAAATCTTTACGCAACCTAACACTTCGCGAAAGGAACTCTTCCATTTCTCGAAAAGTTCTTTCGTTTAATTAATGAAGAATTAGTATATAAATCTAACAATTAAAATTAACGATTATTTAATGACATTAAATAATTTTTATATTATTTAAGTGAAACAATTTTTTCTAAAGTATGTATCACATATTTTTCATCGAGAAGAACTTGCTCGATACATGTATATTTATATATATGTATAATATTTATATGTATATTTATATGTATATATCAATAATATATTTCAGCGTGATTCGCATCAATGTAACAATTTCAAAGAGCTTACATAACTCTATTGCGAATTATACGACATTTAAAATATGTCCTGTTTGCGATTGTGTATCTATTATAAAATCTAAGGATCGTTTGTATGGAAATAGCGATGCGTGGGCGCAGCGAGATAATCCTCGATCGATAAATATCGAGCAGTGCCCGATGTCCTTCGTACTCAGAGAAGCGTGCGAATAAATCTCTCCCATTATACTTCCGCAATACACATCGGCATATCTTGAGCGTGATCTTGTAGGATTACTTAACTGTTACGGTAGCACGGTCGCGCGTCGCGCGCTGTGCGTCATCGAGTGTGCATCGAGGAAAAAGAGATTGGCGCCGCGATACGCGTTCGATAGTCATTCAGAGTCGTCCGCGCTCGAACAAAAAAATGTCGTTCAAGTCGATAGAATACCAGTACGAGGACACTCGGATTCGACATACAACGCACGGCTATATCAACTGCGAATTTTGCAATAAGAAACGTTGGCGTTGATAATAATTAATAATAATTAATAATTGCTAATAATTCACATCCTTATCTTTGGTTTTAGAATACTTCCTACATTTACGTTCTAAATTGCTGTCTCGCGATCATGTTACGCATTGATTTATTTTTTATCGATGCCGAGGTTTTTGACCTGAATCTAATTAGTCATTTCTTAGCTGTTTAATTAATATTAATAAGTATATACGTTTAAAATAATACGTATTAAAATGACGATCGAGAGCTACATAAAAAATGAAAAAACTATAATGCTAAATCACTTTTTCATGTACTAATATTTCTGGTAATAAGTAACAAAATAAAGCTCTTAAATAAAATTTTAAACAAATAAATAATAAAACATTCTTCAGTAAATGGAAAATCACGGAATATAACAAGCTTTTTTTGACTACGCCGCTAAAGAACAATCAATTTGTCAAAGAGATCCTAGTCTTTAGTAGCTAAAACAGGATATATAACGCTATAACATTATACATAATGCGGTATAAGCGAGCAAGCGCTATAATCGTAAACTTAAAAAAAAAACAAGAAATAAAATAGCCACATGAACATCAAAGGAAATCATATTAAGAGTTAACTGCGTACTTTAAACTTGATGATGACAGAGTGGTTTTGCGTTAAAAAACAAATTATTCATGCGAAAAATCAGGAGTAACAATTTGTCCTGTCTAAGATATCGGAAGCAAAATCAGGAGGCGTTTGCATCTAATCTTAAAGATCCAAGGTTTTTTCCTCGTATCGCTTGTCTGAACCGGATGAATTATACGATAACAATGCGTAGATATTCGCACTGCTAATATTGTTTTGCTTGATGACTGCGTAATAAATTGTAATAATCCAGGGATTTGCGTAATATATACGCCTATCTTGATATAAACGACAGTTGCACACAATAAGCAACACACCCATAAATACCAGACAAGAATTTAAGTATAATTAGTAGTATCAATTGCTAAAAAGTATTTATTGAGATTTAATGAATTTAACTATTTCTCCAAAAATATCTTTAAAAATACGTCAGTATAAGCATAAAAACAGAAATTGCAGAAAGAAATCAGTTGAAAAGTAATGTAATTATTTCGCACAATTTTAATTTTTCTATTAACTTTTAATATTCTCTTATTCGCATTCTGATTATTAAATTACAGAAAATTGTACATAAAGGAATATTAGATTATTAGATTAAAAAAGTGATTTGTTTCTCTATATATTATTACATTAGTAGCTTATTATTCGGAATGGTATCCGTAATAAAATTGTGTTAGACATATTAAAATAAGGAAAACAATACAAAGCTTCCATAGTTTTACTGATAAGAAAGATAAAAAAGCAAACGGAAACAAAGCTTCTTCTATGAGAAAGCAAAACACAGAATTTGAATTAGAATTTATATTTAATTATATTTTATATTTAAAATTTACTCATGAGTGTTCTTGTACAGTGCGTCTATATATATATATATATACATAAAGTATTAATGACTTTATACATTTACATTATACTGACATTGATTGTTACATAAGTGACCAAATTAACATCAATCTTCGTTTATGTTGAAGATAAAATTATAGCTAAACGAAAAGTCGATCTCAGTTTCAAAGTGATTGCCTGATTGCACTCATCGCTAACCACCGTAAACGGTCGAGTACCATTTCTCATCCTCGCGGCGAAAAGTTATAGAGGAGATCTCTTGATCGCGCAATACACCACGCGCTATATCAAGAGATTATTTGTTCACTCGATTAACCCTCCATTGTAATTCCAATATCGCAATAATGCCCGCTGCAAAAGTTACGATGCCACGAGTCACTGGTCAAAGAAAAGCAGGGTATTTCTCTCGGCGGGCGCATAAATTACGAAACCATAGAAAATATCTATGAAAGTTGCTGCAATATTCGTGTAAGTCATGTTTATCTGGCGATCAAAATCGCTAAGATTAGCAATTTTGATCTGGGTTGAAGCTCATAAATTCGTAAATGCAACCAAGATAGAAAAGTACAGGAAACAGTAATATTACTGCCCCAATAAATCACTTTGCAGAAAACAATTAATTATATTTCACAACTGCGTTCCGTTGCGCTCTAGCTATAACATATTTAATACCTTCTATTTGGGCGAGGGAAATTTTATGGTTATATTTGTCAGAAATCGGTTAAAATTTATATTATAACATTTAATAATAAAATTTCTCTGATCTTCAAGATTATATGCAACGGTCTCCTTATTTTCGATATTTTTAAATGAATGTTGTATAACGTATATTATTCAGAACAATTAAAAATATTTGTAAGATGCAAAAATAAAGACATCTTCTCGAACTATTTGTAAGATGCAGAAGTGCAAATATCGCGCATCTCCTCTGTTATATTTAACCCTTCGCCCGTAAACTATAATTTGACTGGCATCGTCCGTAATCTGGGTCATAAATGTCCTGTCGTTATTTTGACCTAGTAAATAGTGTTCAAAAAATCTGAAAAAATTCTGTAATACTTGTATACTATCCTATTTTATAATTCCACAGTTTATTTAGCGATTCATTATAAGATAAATTGTTTATAAATAATTCTTTATGCAAAAAATTGATAAAAATCCATTTTTATTAAAAAAATCATATCTCATTGAATTTTAAATCAAAATAAAAAAATCCAACGAGGTTTTATAGTTAAATATGTGTACTTTCAAGAAAAAAATTCTGTATATGGGTCATTTTTAAAAAGTATAATTATTCTGAGGATTGAAAATGGCCTTTTTCGGGTTAAGGAGAAATAAGACTTTTAACGTAATTTTTACATTATTTTATTAAAAAATCATATAAAATCGTCTTTCTCGTAAATAATATCTGATATTTGTCGCTTGATCATCCATTGTACCCTGAAAGTACATGTAATTTTTTTTTACACGTGTTTTCATCCACTCAAATTTTGAGGTTATAGGTATATATAATATACACAATCATAAAAAAATATCACTTATATAAGTTAAAAATAACTGTAGTAATATGAAAATGACGTTAAATTAATTTTACTTACTTGCACGAAAGTCTGGCACTGTCCGTAAACTGGGTCAATAGTGGCACTGGACGCACTTTGACTCGCTGCTGGTCAAGCACACATTGGCGAATTCCAACGCACCATGGCGGCATGAGTTCTCCCCACTACCTACTTTTTTTACGAGGGACGGCAAGCCCCCCCCCCCTTTTCATTTCGGCGGTATTCTATCTTGAATTTCGGCTTGTGCCATTTATGACCCAGTTTACGGGCGAAGGGTTAAGGAAGTAATTTTATACCACAGAAGATCGCTCGACGATAAGATCAGAGTACGTATAGACAGGTATGAGAAATAATAGAGTAAAAGCAGCCTTGTTAGAAAAGATATCTGATTACAGCTGCTTTATGGCTTCGCTATAATTTCAGCAGATTCCACAATCGTTGGTTAACGGCTCGTTTGGATAACGCCTTTACCGTTTTTTGCCCACAGATACCTTCATACTGATGACTCTCGGCCTACTTAGCCTGGTATGCGGCTGTCTTACCCTGCTGTATCACCCCTATGAATTAATCTTCAAGTGGAAACTGCCCTTCGGCAATGGCGGCGAGACTTTCGAGTTATGGCGAAAACCCGAGGTCGACCTCTACCTCAAGGTTTACCTGTTTAACGTAACAAATCGCGACCAATACCTGAGCGGCGAGGAAAGCAAGCTACGATTCCAAGAAGTTGGGCCCTACGTGTACAAGTAATGAGCATAATAATTTTATGGAATCCTGTTCATAAGAACACCCGTAATCGCTGTTTTATAGCTCGAGTTCAGAACAGATCGTGAACCGCAATTCATTCAACCTATGGCCGGAATTCGGTTATAGTCGGTTCTTATATTTAAGACCGTCTTAAGTACAATCTTAAGATGTCATGAACCAATCACTGCAGAGCCGTATTAGCATCTCAAGACGGTCTTGAAATAAGAATCGACTATGAATACCGGCCTATGTCTCGTTGTTATAATTATAATTTTGGGTTCTGTCATTTATCGAGCATCTGAATCGAACTACGTCACGAATTTGTTTCAAAAACATTCTTGCTCTTTTTAGATATCTAAGTCTTAAATAAAGAATCTAATAGAATAAAAAAAAGGAAATACCTCTGAATTAAATGACATTTAAATGACTTATATGACTATTTAAAGAAGTACATTCGATTGCATGTTAAAGAAAGGTAGCTCGAGCCAGAATGGAAAACTCCAACGCAGTGGAAATTATATACTCCTGTAGTAAAAGAGAATTTTTTTCGATATCGCGGAAAGTGAAGGCCGTCAAGAGCGCAGAAGAAATAATTAGTCATCTCGTAAATAATAATTATTAAATTCACACGATCTAGTTTGCGCGGCTATTCCGTGTACAGTTATCCTTTCGACGAAACAATCACCGTCGTTCAATTGCACTCGTGTTTTTCATCCCCGGCATTGAAACGAGGTAAATTTGCATAATGTATTGCACTCGCCCGATCGAATGTAATTGTCCTTGGCTGAAATGACTCAACCTCACGCCAATTCATTATCAATCGACAACCTTTCAACTAATTATTCCTTAAACGCACGCTTGTAAAATTAATAGCAGAGTAACAGAAAGAAAAAAAGCATATACATAAAAATAGCAGAATAAAATTGAAAGGAATAGAAATAACTAGAAAGAAGTACAAATCTGTAATCTCTTTCGAAAAATTGAATTTTTAAAAATTGACAAATAAAGCTTTATCCAATTATATGCCTGAGTTAAAAATAATTCGTTAAATAAATTTTGCAGAGAATTATACTCTAATTGTAATTGTAATATAGTTATTATCTAAAAGTAATTTTTAATATTTTTATATCTTCCAATAATATCTTTATTCCGATAATATTTAAATAACTCTTTTTTATATAAATCACAGTAATGTTTTTCTATTATACATAATCACATCGTGTTCAAATATAATCTTATATAATCTCTATCTATAAATATTTTTTATCAATGATATTTTCATATAATAAAAATTTAATTGCACAACGACACATTTGGCCCGTGCCGAAAAGTGTATTTTCAAAAATTGTACGCGAAATGCAAAAGAATGTATTTTAATATAATTGCACGGATATAATGACAAATTAATGGCTAACATCATACCATAATTCTCGTTGCAGAGAAACCTTCGAGCACGCAAAGGTAGTTTTCAATGACAATGGTACGCTATCGGCGGTACCAATGCATCCACTGACATACATTCCGGAAATGAGCAACGGCACGGAAGAGGACCTCGTAATAATGCCGAATATCGCGCTATTCGTAAGTAGTAAAATATTGCTCTTGTAAATCGTAAATAATATGGTGAGAGACCTTTACCTTATCGGACGCGTAAACGGGACACGATTAATGTGCACGTTCGTTCTGATAAACGAGCCCGTTCGTGCAAAAATGACTAGTCGCTCACTCTGTGAAACGTGCCGGTCCTGTTAAAAGTGAAAAAATTTTAGAAATATAATACGATAAGATTTTGATTAACGATTACTTTCCATTTCCCTTTCTGTATATTGAATTCAGTTAATTGAAAATTAACTTGTTTATTAATTAAGATAAATTAATTAAGATATATAAGGCAAGATCTCCAATTTTATAAATATATCAATCCTGTACTAATTCGAGATCTTTTAAATCTTACTTATTCCTTCTAATTGCGGCTAATCACAGAGCAGACTTTAGAATTAATTTATTGTACTAATTATAAAGAAAATCGTAGATCGTATCGATTATACTAATCGTAAAGAAAATCGTAGATTGTATCGATCTCAGACGGTGATTGATACACGCTAATTAAAGAATAATTAACTTGCGGACAGAATAACTGATTAAAAGTTAAGCTTTTACGGCGTGCTCTTAACGTATAAATCGATGAGAAATCGAACGAAATTTTCTTATTACGCGGTTCGAAGAAACATTTAATTATCGAGAATGATACAATTAATCGAGGGACATGCTTTATTATCGTCATTTGCGACACGTTCGACACGTCTGACTTGATATCTAGGATTACCGAAAACTTATCGAGTATTATTCAACATCGCGCATATCGAGACGTGACAATAGCGATAATATGTAACAGAGCTGTAAACTTTGTTCAGATAAATAATATGAATTGTAGAAATTCCGTAATGGAAGAAACCCAAACATCTCTGATGTATGACTATTAACCAATGACGTATAGCTCGAATAAAAATAGTATAATATAATTAAGGAGTAAATGCGTAATAATAAATGCTGAGACTAACAAAAACTATTATATTTTTATCGCACTTGCGTACGTTTACATTAACATACTAGTAATATCAGATTACAATTAATTAATTCCGTTTTTCTTACGGGTATGAAGGATATCGGAGTGTGCCTGGTGCACATATATATCTTTTAGATAATCATCAAACAACTTACTATATTCAGACTTTTAATTAATACTGATGACAGAAACTTTTTGTTACTAATGGTATTAGATATCTAATGGATGTCCGTGATACATGTAAATTATAACGTTTAATTATTAATTAATTTAATAGGTCAATGGATATGTAATGTTACAAAATCCTTTCTTTTTATATTGCTCACGATTTCAACGATTACTGGATCCTTGAAAATTTTTTTGATGATTAAGTATTAAATTTTTTAATTAAATATTCTAATATCGCGTGCAATGCAACGTATCGTAATCGTAAGAATCAGTTGACAAACAAAAATATGATGCGTATACGGAAAACAATAATATAAAAAATATTTCGATTGCAACATGAGACGACTTAGTCACCGACTCACTTGCACTAAACGTCTGCAATCTAATCCTGATTGTGAGTTAGTGCTGATCTACGCTGATGCAAGCGAAGTTTATTGGAAACTCGGACTTCTCCGACATTTCTATGGCATTTCATTTATTCGATATGGCACGATCTGGCACGTCGTAAATTTTAACAACAAACCATTAATTACGATCGATTTCGCAAGGACCCTCCGTTTCCCGGCGAGATTCAAGAATCTTTATTATGTGCGTCAGTTTATGGACGACACATTCCATATCTTTATATAATACTAACGACACCGCCGCGTTTTCTCGGATATGCATATGTTTTTACGACGATTAATTTATTAATTGGAAAACCAGGTGCTCCCGGCAAACGCGTCCTGCGTTATACCTCATTGTGTCACCGATAAAACTAAATATAAAACGCGCAATATTAAGCGATCGAGTTTTTACTCATGAATATTTACGCGCGCTCGCAGCTGACTGCTTATTCTCGAGATTATCTTACTGGAGTGCGAGAAAATCCAGTGGACTGTATTATTTTCGTGATATATGTCATATGGTCGTATAATTAATAGAATTGTAACTTGTGACTTAGACACAAGTTAACCCAGATATTACGCAAGTGATAAGAACTCGCGCTGACTCCGATTGCCGACTACTTTACGTAATATTATACCGCGAAACGGCAATTAAATATTCCATATTCTGACGTATTCTTTCAACGCGATGCAAATTTCTCTAGAATATGTCGCCGCGTTACGCCGAAGTTTCCACTCGCGAGATGCAGAAATGCATCTCTTGGAGAAACCGGTCGCGTTTGCCTGGCGCGGTCAAGCAGCCCCGAGAGAATCCAGGAAGACGCATTTGGTGCTGCTACTTAAGAGGTGCACAAGCTAAATGCTCTTTCCATCGTCACCTCGGAGAAATTCGATTATTTTAATGTTTGCACAATGCTTGCGCAAGACTCCCTCCCAATCATGACTTTCAAATTCGACATTAATTTAATTATTTTTCGATTGGTGTCAAATACTGCTGTCTGTTTTTTTTTTTATAATATTACATTTATACATTACTTTACATATTTTTACATAATTTCTCGTAGAAATCTTCAATTGATACTTTCAATAATTTAAATGTTTATAATGAGAACAATGGGTGCATTCTTACTGTCAAGTATCGTAGTTTCGACAGTTCTTTTAATAAAAAACTCATTGTTCTCATTGTTAACATTATCGAAAATAATCGCACAATGTGGCGTTCCACATTTCATCGTGTAAATGCATGAATGATACGGCGAATCATGACGCCGTTTAATTACATGCAGATATTTAAAGAGAATAAGACAGACGCGGCGGAGCGTCTCATTGTAAAACAGTTTCGTATAAAAACTTAAAACTTTCGAGAACCATGTCAACATTTAAAGTATCGAATGGTAAAAAGGAATCTTGAGGGGCACTTATACTTATGCTATAAACAGAAGTTAATCTAAAACAATTAATAGTTGCGTTGTTAACGCAAGTAAATATACTTCCATTTGTACTGGTTTGAACATGCAAATAATGATGAGTAAAACGCAAAATTGACGATGTAACGCGCTTGTTAACCTATTCATAAAACTTGTCATATTAATAGTACACTTAACGAACAATGAAAAAACGTGCATTATGTCTCAAAATCACATTTATATCCATTAGCTGACTTTATCATGACAAATAATCGCCTTTACTGCCCAATTATGTAAATTCATGCAAAACGATGAGCTTTTCATTACACGAGTAATGACAATACTTTTAAGATAAAAAACCATACGTATGTCATTTTTTTCATATCTTCCTCTTAAAGATTGATCGATTAGTCTTTTCTTATAAAACCATTATATACCAATATTTAAGAAATTAATTAATTAAACATGTCATCTTTTTATAAGCGTAAAATTAATTGATATTAGATAAATTAATTGACAAAATAAATTAATTTTAAATTAAATTATAGAATTATTTATGTGGAATTTCTTTTTCATTCAGGCAATTCACGCAATCACAAATCACGCGCGGCTATTATAAAATAGTTTTCAAGTCAATGCTACAAACGTGACTCGGCAATTTGATTAAGAGCTAAATTATTAGATCATAACTATTTACAAAAATCCTAATGCAAAATAGATTGGTACATTACAATGTCCTCTTTACGTCTTACGTGCTACATAAATCCACCTGTTGTGCCGACACGGTGATTGTTTTAAAAGTTATTGCGTTTACGAAGAAATAGAATCTCAACATTTAATTAAATTCGCTGTTTAATGTGCAAGAGGTGCAGTGAACCGTGTTTCGCGAAGAATCCGCTTAAGCAATACATTCCTCGTGGGCACGCAAATTGTAAAACCGTCAGTTAAGAGTAATAGATACGCCGTAAACACTCTTATCTATTTAAAAGGTCGCACGAGAGAAAGCGTTTCGTTTATGTTCAGCTTTTCTATTGCATGCAGTAGCCATTATTTATTGACGTTAATTACTAGTATTACTACCGAGTTATATGGAGTCTCTTGAAAATTCAATGGCATTAAAATTAAGAGAGATGTAATAAAAATGATTTTCTAATTACTACATTTTACATCTCTATTAAAATTTATATTTATCAAACAAATAATTAAAAAATAAAAAAATTCTTCCCCTAAAAATCTGTGTTCTTAAAAAATCAATTTTTTTTATCTTGTTGGACTCATCTTATAGTAAGTTTTCAAAAATTTAATTTTTAACGGCAGTACTATAATTTATTATAATGTAGTTTGTTATATTGCCATTAGAACATATATTATCGGAAACATACTGAAAAATACAAGGCACACAAATCAGTATTATTTTTTATTTGTATTTAAACTCTTGCTTATTTTCTACATATAATACAATTTCGAACAAAACAAATATTCTAGAATTTTGTAAGATGCTAGATAGAAACTGGTTAATTAGATAGAACGAACATTCTAGAATTATGTAGGATACTCTAGATAGAAACCACGTGTGTCATTGTTTATTACTATCTTAGAGTCTTGATATCAGTAAAGTCAATGACCCTGACAATCGCGTGGATGAAGAATGTCTAAAGATTGCGAATGCATTTTTCTTTCTTCTGTTGAGAGATATTGATATGTCATACTTAATATGATAAAGAACGACATATTATAACGACACACAATAAATGTCAACGGACAACAAATGTCAATAACACGTTGGTGATCCAGCAATTTAATGGATCACATAATTTATTACACTTCAATAATTAGCTATGAATATATACATCTATTCGTACTTATTTTCATTTTTTTTTAATAACAGTAGTTTTTTAGTAACTTAAATTTAAAATATATGTATAGAATTTTATATTAGTTATTTGAATATATAAATAAACACCCAGTTCTATTGTGTATTAACCGATAATATTGCTCCTAATTATCGCATGAAAATCACTTTTCACTTTGTTAACGGGATGATGAAAATAAGAATCAAATGATGAATGAAGTTAATAACTTGATCTTTTACGTCAGTGCGTAACACGCGAGCGATAAGTACGCAAAGTATAATGCAATTATATAATCTCAATGTCGGCTTATTATAATGAAATCAATTATTTTAATTAAGCAAATAATAGCGTGTTTTTGCCAGGTCCATTATACGTGCTGTTATCTCTTATTTTTCTGTCTATTGTTGCAGAGCATCACGAATGTGATGAGAGACGCCTCATACATATCCAGATGGGGCCTCAACACGCTGATCCGTCGGACGGATACTCAACCCCTGGTTCAAATGACCGCACATGAATTTATGTTCGGCTACCAATCGACTCTGGTTACCCTTGGCAATCACGTAATGCCCGCCTGGATCAAGTTCGATAAATTAGGATTAATCGATAGGGTAAGGAATAAGGATTAGCGACTTCTAAAGTACATTAGATATAGTTGTGATCGCAATTATATATAAGCAATTTTATTTTTAATAATATATTTTTTTTCTAAGCTAATCAAAAACCTAGCTTTTTTTAAGATAGCCATAAAGATTTTTAATTATTTGCATTCTTTACCGTAAATGTATAAAACTCGATTAAATTTAGAGCTCATCTATTTACAATTATCGAATAAAAACATTCCAAATTCTATATATATTAATATGTCTTTAACGCAGACATTTTCTAATGTTCTGATAATGTACATTTTGTCTAGGATGCAAAAGCCTCACGATATAATACAAATCTTGCATTCGCTACGCTTCACAGATGTACGATTTCGAAGGTGATTACGAGACGATTTACACGGGAGAGACCGATGTCCGAATGACAGGCTTGATCGATACGTATAATGGGGACGTGAACCTGCCGCAGTGGACTGGTAAATGCGCGAATGTGCAAGGTGCGAGCGACGGCGTTAAGTTCCCGAGCTACATCGAGCCTAACGACACGATCCTCTTCTTTCGCAAGAGCCTCTGCCGAAGCGAACGAATGGTAAGTCTGATCATTTGCAATCATCACGACGAAATGGTTAAACAGTTCGGTCAAGAACCGTCTGCCGACTCATGCGATTTGTATGTAACGTTCTTTCTTCTATTATTAACTTTCTTCCCTTATACAGAATGCTCGTAAATTATTCTTATGCAATTCTTATTGACAGATCTACCTGTCGAGTAACTCGGCAAGCTTTCCTGGGAAGAATTCTCATTTTGTACCTTTTCTTCTTTTTACATCTTAACATTGAGAAGTCAACTTCACAGCTGATTGTTAAATTAAAAATCTGTAAAGTAAACTTGAACGCAATTGAAATAAAATCTTTTATTATTAAACGTTTATGTAGAAGCTATTAAAATATCTATCTCAATATCTTCGTTACTCAAAAACTGGATTTACTTGTAGTACTATATAAATTTTGCATTATAACGCTTTTTAAATATGCGTAATTAATAAACAAAATATTGGAAATGCGTATTATAATGTGTAATAATGTCAGTGCTAGTATCTCATTTCGAAAAATGTAGAAATTAATTCTTCTCTAATATAAGAATATCCCTTTATAATAATATTTCTCCCAAAGATACGAGTCGGAGAAAAGGTGATTCAGGGCCTGGATACGTACCAATACACGTTCATGGAGAACGAATTGGATAACGGCGCAGTGAACCCAGAAAACAAATGCTTCTGTCGTGAAGGAGTCTGTCTGAAGCCTGGCTTAATCGATGTGACCGATTGCTATTACGGTAAGATATCTAAACATCAGTATGCAAATTTAATTTCAGTCAAATTTAAGTCAAACACTTTCGGTGAATAAATCATTACATTTAATGCGTATTTAATTGTTCAGTACATATTGTTATCAATATTCATATATTCGGCTCTTACGTAACTTGCTGAGTGTCTTAAGTCATCTTGCCGAGTGTTTTTTATAAGAGATAAACTTGGAAGAAAAAGGAATTTCGATATGCATCACAAAATCAATGATTATCGCGTCGCATGCTATTTATGGTTGCGGCCATCCGACTTGTCTCCGAAGTGGTGTTGCAAGATTCCGATTGCTTTGGTCATGTTGCAATAAAAATCAACGGTTCCAATTCGAGACGCGAATGAAGGACAAAAAGGAAAAAAAAGCAGTCGTATACCTAAACGATACGCTTGGCAATTAGAGATAATTTACGTTTGGAATCATTTCTTCGACAAACATCAGATCCAGCAGACTCGTCTTTGGAATTAATATATGCGACGCGATAATTTCCACCTTAATCATGTACCTGTGTCGATAAAACACAACAAGAATCTCACAGCGTGATATAATAATAAACTTATGTCATGTTGATTACGTCATAAAAAAAAGAAGCTAATTTCCACTGAGTAATCTGAGCGATGCAACATCTTAAGGGACTTCGATCGTATCTCGTGTTGTGATCCGATATTTCAATCGGATACCTATATTTTCGTGTTCAAACTAGACCTGTCAAATGAAACAAAATCGCGTTGACGTATTGTAAGATTTCCTCGACTTTTATACAGGATTTCCGATCGCCCTGTCGTACCCGCACTTTTACCAGAGCGACCCGTCACTGCTGGAAGCGGTCGACGGATTGAACCCCACGAAGGAGCGGCACGAATCCTACTTCTTCATCCAGCCGAAGTCCGGGATACCCGTGGATCTGGCAGCCCGATTTCAAATTAATATGGCTCTACAGAATATCGAACACATGGCTCGAGTGGAGAAGTTCTCCGAGTTGACGCTTCCGTTGCTGTGGTTCGAAATTGTAAGTGCAAATATCGAAGTAATCAAGACAGAATTTAGTTATAATAATGTTCCTTTAAAATTGTCTTCTAAAGAATCAGTCGAAGGAGTGATTTTTCGTTACTTCCACATAATTACGTATATTGATTCGCAATATATTAGCGATATATTCTTCTTCATTTTATACTCGATTGTATAAAATTGCATCGAATGATGTGAAACAATAAAAGATATTCTTTGTTTCTCAGGGAATGTACAAGCTGCCGAAAAGCATGAACATCCGTTTTTGGTTTTACCTGAATGTCATGCCAGTCATGGAGGAAATAATAATGTATGTGCTATTCCTTTCCGGATCAATGTTGCTCGTCTGGAGCGTCATGAGGATACTGTTTTACCAAACGAAGAAATCGTCGTCGGAATGGCTAGAAATGGAAAGGCAGCGACGAAAGACGCAGACAAACAAGCAAACCGAACAGAAGGCGAAAGATACGGAGGCGTACAGCTCGCTTTTGACTTCCGCCGATCCGAATCTGACGTTAATAATGGCGTAATTATACATCAATACATCGATCGAGCTTTAATGAGAACGAGCAGGACATTATTTCTTCAATAGCTTTCTGGCCACTATTCTTATTAGTTTGCTATTGGCGAAACAGTGCAAATACAGTAAAGTAAATTATTTTGCTATATTTATATACTGTCATTCTTACTGCATACCGGATATCCGAATTACACTATCGTTAAAGTGTTAATGTCACGATATCCGGAATCACATCATTCGATTTAATCAATTTCGATTAGATCAATCCACGAACGCTTCCATTTTTATACTTTTGATATAACTGGTGTTGTTAATAATTAATGAAAATAACACCCGATATTTTCCCCCGATAACTTTTCGGTACTTCATATTTTCCATAATCATCGTTAACAATTTTATTGCACAAAGTTGTTTCTTAATTTATATATAGGATAAACTTAATACAGAGATATGCAAGTTTTAATACCAATGTTTATCTACGTTCTAGTATTGAGCAAAGCTATTTTTTTCCTCATAACGTAGCTCGTCATATATAATGATATTTCTCATATGCCAAATTATATAAATATCAACTTCTCGCATCACTGTAATGTTTTACTAGAAATTAAAAAAAATTAAATTTCTCTTTAAAAAATTTTTTTTAAACTTTTTATAAAAAATTCTTACAAAATTGTGTCTTGCACTGAATTTGTACTTTTAATGAGGGAAGGATTAATATATTGTTTTTTTTTTTATCAAGACATTTAGCTTCATCGATTTGATATCCTAAGATTCATGTATTACATATTTCTTAAAGGAACAATTTAATACCGAAGCAATTTGATCAGTTATTATATTAGAATTATACCCAAAGACAGCTGAGAATAGCAAAAGACATTATTTACGCGCAATAAATGCATAAAAAGTCACAAAAAAGTAGAATCAAAAAAGAAAAGAGATATAACGTTGCTATTACAGTGAAGCTATTTCATCACTATCTAATATACACGCTGAATCATATCATTCCAATCTCATAGTCGGAATCATTTTAATCACACAATCGGAATGACGCATCTGTTCTTTTTCATTCCACTTCTATCCTTTTTCAGAAATTGCATCAATTAAAATACATTAAGTTTTCTAAATAAAATAAATGAGATTTCATTAAAGAATTAGAAAAAGAAGCTGTAATCTGCATAAACTTCATCTGAAGAAATTTTTGTAACTCTTTGATGAGGATTATGTAATGAAGATATTTCATATATTCATGTTAAATATGCCAATAGTGCTTCATTACTGCTAAGTAAACCTCAATTGCTGTACATCAAATAACATGGCATGCTAATAATCATGTCTGTGATTTCGTTTTGCTCTCTTATTTTGGAACAGTATTTAAAAAAAATATAACATAGCGGACTTCTATAATATAGATATAACACAGAATACTACATCAACATATACATAAGAATACATTTGTCGCCAAGCTCAAATCTGAACAGTTAACGGATATTAAATCGACGATTGCTCAATTTTTATATAACGTATAATATTTAGAAATAGAAATAATTTAATAACGTTAACAAAACAAAGAAAATCGCATTTAAAAAGTCATCGTTTTAACTATTCTAGTTCCTCAGATGGAAATGAATAAGATTAATCATCGATCATTTTTTAAACGCGTATACGTATTGTACTTGAACATCCATAAAGTAAATATCTATAAATTAGTCTATATTTAATATTACCACTTGGAATCATTTAACTTCTTTAATTTATTTAATTTTTGATATTTTGCATTTTCTTCTCTTTTATTTTAGAAAGAAAGTCGCATTTGCTGGAAACTTGCCATTTATTAAATAATAGTCGGTAAAATTCCGAAATTCCATAGAGAGATATTCCAAGTAGTAGTATTAAGTGATTTACTCTGTATAATCCAGAGATCTCAGATACGTGTCACATATGGGTTACTTTCCTCTTCACATAGACAGCGATCCAATTGTTATAACACGAGCTCGTGACAAAAATATGGAGAGAACCTCAAGCCGACTTGGGGATATCATTCATCAAATTATTCAATTTTTAATTTTCATTATTCCTTTTTAAATCAATTATCTTATTAGAGCTAATAGTTTTAACCGGACAACATGCTGTACAAAATTTTTAATTCATCATTTAAAATTAAAATAGCTTTTATTTATTTCCGTAATATGACATAATGAGTTAGTGACCCTATATGTAGCAATATACTTATAATCTGCATTGCAGATTTCTTTACCTCATTGTAAATATGTAAATAATTAGTGAATCATTAAATGTGTAATGTGCACTGAAATGTTAATACTTACTGAGAACTTCATACGTGTCTTTAATACTAAAAACAAATTGTAAAAAAAAATTAATAGAGATAAGATATCATATATCTTTATCGTTTGTAAAAAGAAACCGAACTTTTTATACGTTTCTTATACGAATTAAGGAAATTAAGCACAATAGGGGAGTAGCAAAAGTTTAGTATATATAGGTCATAAATAAATATATAAGTACACGAACGATAGTTCTCTGCGAGAAATATTTTTCTCTGACATATCTTGCCTTATTTATTACAAATATTGAAGATATAAATTTAATATTAAGTGTGTTAAGTATATGCTCGCAATTACATGTTTAATAAAATACTTAGAAATAAGAATATGTTTCGTAATAACCTGCGGGTAGGATATGACGTAAATTTTAGAAAGCGTCTTTTTTACATTTATAACGTGTGATGATGTTATAAATTTCCTAAAAAAAATATCCATCAAATGTGTGATAACCAAGCTAATAAAATATACATATTGATATTATACAAAATTTATTTCTGTTTTAATATCTTTTACATTTTATGAGAAAAAGTTTTAACTACAACAAGTCATATGGTTCAAGAAAAAATCTCAAGGAAATTATTTCTGTGTAAATTATCTCTATGGACAAGTAGTATATTAGCCATATGTAATAAAAATATATTTAATAAATACAATACGAGAATTTGCAGATACATATGAGAAATTTATTCATAATTAAATGCATTGATTATAAACAGCATCATTCTCCTGTCGCTTCCACAAAAGAAAAAAGCATATTAAACGTGAAATAAACATTCTTTTAAGATTGACTCATAAAACTTACAACAAAGTCGTGTATTCCTTCTTTATCTGAAATCAAATATCATTTATCAATTGCGACAAAAGTTCTAAAACTTAAATACATTCTATAAAATCATATTATGAATTTTTAAGCTATCATACCAAATATTTTCTTTTGCAGCATATCATAATGCATTTCTCTGCAAGTTTTTGAAAATGTCGCCCTATCCGGAAGACGTTTTGATGGGTAGTATTTCATTAGATACGACTTTAAAATTTCTGCTGTTTTAAATTGTGTAGCTTTATCTGCAAATACTTTTGGTCTGTTACTATTGCTATTCGTGTGATGTTTTGAACGAGATGTGTGTGCGATTTCTTCCTTTTTCTTTAATTCTACATTATCTTTTATTTTAAGATGCTTTTCTGTGTTATTTTTTGTCGTTCTCGATGAATCATTATTTACAGCAGTAATATTAATGTTTGTATCTGTGCTCTTTCTAGTCGTTTTCGTGTCAATTTTGTCACCTAAAATTTTTTTATCAATATTTTTATCGGATACATTATCATTAGTTTTATCGATGTATTCGTTATGTATAATTCTTTTTTTCTTAGCAGATTTTATGTCATCCTCGTGACATTCAATAGATTCATAGCCTCTTTTATTTTTACTTTCATCTTTACTTTTATTTTCAGTTTTAATAGAATCAACAATATTGTCTACTTTCAATTCTGTTTCAAAAGAAATATCTCTCCTTTCATCAGTAGTCTTCTTCGATGATGATGATGCTGATGCTAAAATCTGCTCATAAACTGTTTTACCTGCTCTCTTTACATTCTTATCTGCTTTACTTCTGCGAACTTTTGATTTAGAGGAATTTGTATTGGATTTAATCACATTGCTCTCGTGAATTTCTCGCGCACAAACAAAACCACTTGATATTTCCATCTGTGGTTTATCATTTTCGTGTGTATATTTTTGTGCAGTATTACTAACAGATAATTCTTTAAATTGAGCATTTTTATCCTTGTTTAACGTAGATACTCGTAATCTTTCTTCATTTATAATCTCTGATGCAGTTTTGAAAGCGGAAGGGAAAGTATCTTTACGACTGTTTGACAGACAAGCATTTCCGGTAAATCCTGTTTCGACTGTATCTATTATTTGTTCATTATTGGACATATCGATACTGTCAGAATTAAATTCGGTATTATGAAATTCAGTCTCATTATAGTCACGTATCGCTTCGTACATAGTATTACTATTAGTACATTTTCGTATTGACGAAATCTGTATGAATAAAGCAAATAAAATAAAGAATGTTCATATTTAAAATAATAATAATAATAATAAATGTATCATCAATTTCATAGTTCCATATACAAGAAAATTTGATTCTAAAATAATTGATATGTTTATTCAAGTCGTTTAATTCTTTTAGTATGAAAAGTTTATAAAAGATAAAGCATTTAAAGATATCTATGAAAAATATTACATACCAATTTAGATATATCAAATTTGTATTTATTTGGTACTTTCGAATTGGAAAATATTTTGTATTCTATACTATTAGCTACATCGTGCATATTTTCCTCTTGCAATTGTTTGTCAATTTCCGTATGCAAATTTTCATAATTTTCAAATAACGCTGTTTTTAATTCATTGTAAAAGTGTTCGCGTATCTTAAAATAATGAAAAAATAATGAAAATTGTGTAAAGATATTGATAATATTTTATAAAAAAAAAGCTAATGCGTAATGTCTTACTTGAACAGTTAAACCTTTAATTTTTTTATCCGTACTATTGGCTGCACGAACATGTGCTACTTTCGCATCCTTCATATTCTGTCGCCTTACCTATAAAAAATAAATAAAGATAGAAACAACGGTGTACAAAAAAAAATTTGCTCACAAACTCACTTCATTCTCCTTAGATTTGCCACGTCGGAGTGCAAACTGCTCCATAATAAGTTCTCTTCTCTCTCGCTTTTCAGCCGCTATTATTTTCTCCCTTGATTCTTCTGACTCATTGAATGCATCCCTATTATTATTGTACAATTATGAACACTTGTGAGCACCATTGCATATATTTTTTGCAAATATAAAATTGTTTGAGTAATTATTTACATACATTTCATCATCATCACTGTAGCCCATTTGCATTACACTACCCATATTATTTCGGGGTTTTTTAGATCTAGTCTGACACATTTCAAATTGAGCAATCCTCGCTTGTACTTCATCCTTATTTTTACAAACATCGCATCTATTTTTGCAAAGCGGTGGAGAATCCCCGAAATATTTAGAGAATACCGCATGTCGACATCTATATAACAGCATACAATACATCTATTCAATGTATATCAGTATATATATAAAATGCCAAGTGATTCTTGAAGTATCTCAAGTCCTACTGTTTTACTTCTAATATATTCATCTTTTTTACTTAAAAAATGTAGAAACGCAATATTAAAAGTTTCTAAATAAATATATATTTTCCCATTCTTATTTATTATATATAATTTAATTCTTGAGAAAGAATAAAGATCGTACTTTGCCTCTAAACAATACGCAACGCTTTTCTCAAAATTTTGCCATTTAAGTTTTACAAGTTCCGTGTTCTTATGGGAGATTTCCTCTTTGATAAGGAACGAAATAGGCCCATATTCTTCGTGACTAAAATAAATGCGGCAGAATGCAGGATTGCCATCTCTGCCAGCCCTTCCTGATTCTTGATAATACGCTGCAATATTCTGAGGTACTGTCCAGTGAACCACAAACCTATACATATTCATATAATAAGCATATTTTTTTTCTTAGCATGCAATATTGCTTTTTGGAAATGTCGCAGCTACCTAACAGATCCCTTGTCAACACCCATCCCGAAACTACACGTTGCCGCGATAACAGGCACTTCACCTGTTGTCCACTTATTTTGTACCTCATTACGTTCCTGAGCTTTTAAGCCTATTCAAATGTTAAAATAAAATAGTATCATCTTTTTGCAAGTTTGTTTAAATTAAAGCGTGCTATACAAATCACATACTTCCATGATACGCAAGCGTAGTAATACCCGCGAGAGTCAATTTATGCGCAATAGTTTCAGTTGCTTCCTTCTTTCTACAATAAATGATACCACAATTTCTTTTGTGCTAAAAATACGAAGAATCCATTATTCTGTACAGTTCATAGAATACCACTGGTGAAGAATTTAACTCACCATAGGAATAGAAATATCTGAGGGGCCAAGGGTGTCCAAAATGAAATTTCTTAGATGTACAAATGGTTTGTCTAACATTTCTTGAAACCACACGTCGTAATATAAATTAGGACGAAATACCGGTTGAGAAAATATCGCTGGATCTTTCATGTGCAAGCTTTGGATAATATCGTCCTTTACCTACAACAATATTCAACATGTTAGAATAATATAGTAATAATCAAAATTGTAAATATTCATATTTTCTTAGAGTTTTACCTGTTTCGCAGCAGTCGCTGTTAATGCAACGATAGGTATCTTGGGACATAATTTTTTAAACGTTCCCAACTGTCTATAAGTTGGTCTAAAATCATGACCCCATTCACTCAAACAATGAGCTTCGTCGATAACAAAATAAGAAAGCGTTTTTTTCTTCTGCATTTGAATTATGGTTTCCTGTAAATTAAATAGAAATTATATCGTGATGAAAAATATTAAAGTATCCAAATCAAAATCTTAGTATATCTTTTGAAATAATTTATGATTATTCCTTAATTACCATGCGTACAGACACAATAGATATAAAGCAATAAAAAATAAATACAGTTATTCCTTTGAATTAACAAAATACCTGAAAATGATGTTGCGCTCCCATTTCAGGAGTGACGTACAATAATCTTATCTTCGGTGCATCCGACAGTATATCTTTCATAATGGAATTCCTCTCTTTGCTGGAAGTAGTGGAGTTCAAGGAGCAGGCATTTATTTTCTTGCTCACCAAAAAGTCTATTTGATTCTGCAGAAATTAAATCAATATTCAAGTATTGAATCAGTGTTGAAATTTCTCTTTCCCTACTTACAGGTTTTTTTATACAAAAGAAATATATGCTGAAAAGATACGGACTAATCTTGTATGGACAATGTACGAACAGTACCTTCATCAGAGCCAGGAGCGGCGAGAAGACAATTGCAACTTTATGCTCCTTCATTATTGCTGGTAATTGAAAACAGAGAGACTTCCCAGAACCCGTGGGCATGCACACAAATATATCTTGCTTTCCTAGAATCGTCAACGTTTCGTGGTTTGTCATTCAGCTTTTATGAAATACACGCTCATGAATAAAAAAAAAGATAGGGAAAAAATTGCTCACATGTTCTCAGAAATTTTGTAAGACTTATGAAAAAATAAATATGAAAATATATAAAATTTCTCAGATACTTTTAGAAACAATTGGATGAGGATTTTTGGAATATTTCAGTATCCATACGTATGGAAATTTCTACGTATGATAATTTGCACAGATTTTCTCATATTTTATTCAGATTTCTATAAAAATGTGTAGGCAGGAAAAATCTGAAATATTTTATTAATATTTTGTCTGAGTTCTTCTGAAAACATTCCAATTTATATTTAAAGAAACCTGAAGAATTCTGATCATTCTGAGAAAGTCTGACAATTTTTATAAAAATTCTGAGTCCATTTTCTATTGCTAAAATAGCTGCACATTAATTCAGAGTTTATCCTCTTCCTTCCAATGTGGAGTAAAGAAGATGAAATCTGAACTAGTGCAGCCAGTTCAACATTAGAAAACAAACCCTTTTTACTCCACATTGGTAGGAAAAAGATCAACTTCAAACTAGTGCAGGCAGTTCAGCAATAGAAAACACCCTTGGCTTAATGATATGAAAAATTCTGAGACATTTGTCTATCAGGGAAAGGAAAAGCTGCACGAGGGAGAAAGGTATTGCGGCTACTGAGAGCGATAATCCGAAAAAGGATGAACATTTTACTAAAAAAAAAAAAAAACCTTTGTAAACTGCAGTAGTGGCCTGCTTCTGAATGTCATTTTTGAATTCGTCGTAACCGAACTTGGACTTCAAGACGCTCCGCAGCATTTTCACTCGTCGCTGGTCGCTGGCGATTCGGCCGCTTTTAAAAATGCGAACGGCAAGCAGACCTTGCGATATCGTACACCTGCTGTTTTCGCGTCTTCTCCGGCCGGTTTGCGTATTCGACAAGCACGAATATGTTCGTCGAGAACACGCGCCACATGACACACATCGAGTGCCACTCGAGATCAGATTAGGTTAGCCTGAGTTATGTTAGGTTAGATCAACGTTGAGTTGAGCCAGCCATCTTGGGCTATTTCGATTTTCGTAGGGCCGTCGGAACTGTCGGAAGCCCCTGTAAACTACCGCCAGTACAGCCATTTTCGGAATTGGTACTACGTAGCCACGTTCATTTTCCGACACTGCCGATAAAACATCATTTTGGTGCGCGTCCGTGCTTAAATTTTAAATAAAATTTTATCCGATAGAAACAGGTCAAGCTATAGAGGCCCTCCACCACCCCCGCCGATTCCGATCGGCGGTCCTCTTTAGAATCCGTTTTTTACATTTTTATTTTGATTTATTTTATTTTATTTATAATTTATTTCACAATATATGTATTACATTTTACAAAGTTGAAAATATAATATACAACATACCCGTATCCCTACCTACCTACCTCTGTCTCTATACTGAAAAAAAAGTTGTTAACTTAACTAAATGCGTTCAACTAATTACTATTTTTTTAATTGAAATATTTAAGTATTTAAATTAAATATGATATATTAAATCTAACATGACGTAATTTGATTTAAATACTTGAATATTTCAATTTAAAAATGGTAATTAGTTGAACGCATTTATTTAAGTTAACAACTTTTTTTCTCAGTGTATAATACCTACCTGTATTCCGATCTATATAGTCCTACCCTATCCATTTCCCTACCCCTACCTACCCGTATTACAATCTAATATAAATCTAATACCGCGACACAAATTATAAGGGACCTCTGATTGGGAATTTTAACACGCGCGCGATTGTGTGGGATTTAATTAGAGTTTTTCCAATCTCGCCATATGCGAGGAAATATAGAAAGAAAGTAGCCCTACTTTGGGCAAATTAACAGATATATATCAAATTAGTTTGTACACACATAAAATTAATTATTCTATAGCCAAGGAAAGCACTTACTTATTTTATTTTATTTTTTTTAAGTAAGTTTTCTTACAACAAATAATTTTTTCTTACTAATAATTTTTAAATATCTTGACACAATTAGTCTTTCAAAAATAGAATATTGTTTTGAGTATAATGTACTTACAATGACTTTATGATAGATTTGCGGATTAAGTATTTGATAAGGTTAAGTATTCGCTTATAGTAAAAAAAGAAATTCTGACTCACCAACCCGATGCGCAACAGGCGGAGTTACTCAGCCACGTAGCTACGATGATACTGTAACATACAAACATAATTTAAATTAAAGAAGCGCTCAAAATGATCAACATTTTAAAAGATAATTCTTACACGTACTTTAATTATTCGTCTTTCAATAAAATATTTAGCAATACAATTACCTTTACCGAAAAAAATCTTTACAAGAATAAAATTTTAGAGTAATTTCTCGTTTTTTAGTCACTTTTAACTGATCAAGATAAAACAATTTGAATAAATGGAAACAAATTATTAATTTTATGCAGCCAAGAGATATATGATACTTACCCCAAGGTTGCTCCGCCGGTGCCCGATGTCTCTCTCGGACCTCCTCCTCCTCTCAGGACGTCAGGTCTCTCCTCCTCCTCCTCTCACCGCACAGGACACTCGCGAGAAACACTCGCGGATAATAAATTACAATCGCGCGCGGACTATAATTATCAATAAAAGTCTTTTTCGCGCGATACTGTACGGCACTCCCGTTTAAAAAAGTCCTTTAGTCCGATTACTTATGAGCGGCACTCCCGATGCAAACGCGACGAACCGGCTGCGGTTCGTTCATTCAATTAAATCGGCGGACGAGGGTACGTTAGCTTCCCCGCCTTTGAATTTTTATCCAAGCAGAACAAGAGTTTTGCTTGGGTAAAATCCTCGTACTGGGTACTGGAGCCTTCCCACCTCGCCAAGGTCGTACCCGTGGGAAGGAAAAGTACTTTTCTCTGTAATATAAAAGCGGGTAACATGAATTTTTCATGCAAATTTGAAGGAATCGCGACGCCGCGTGCTCCGCGTCGTTCCACGATCATCACCGCGTTACCGGCGATACTACGCAAGTCGAGCGGACGGTTAATAAAGACACGCACTTCGTTAATCAGAGATACGCTGTTGAAATTAAATATCGCACTCATGCACAGTACGTACGGTATCAAACTCGTAAATCTCGCGAAAGTATAACTACATTATTAATATGCACAACGAAGACGCGTGACTGCCGGCCGCTAATCTTACGCGACTCGAGATATA